TCCATATGAGTAAATAATAACATAAATGATGATGTACATTTCTTAAGACTTAGGCTCTATATCAGGGGTTCCCAACCCAGTCCTCAAGTCCCCCCTAACAGTCCAAGATTTAGAGATTAACCTGTTGTATTTAAATCTTTTTTTATTTATATTTATTTCTTTAAAAAAACACCTTGGACATAACTGGGTAATCCATAAATCCTATTTGAGGAATGGGTTGGGAACCACTGCTCTATATGATAAAACAGCCATATAAGAGTATTTTGCCTGAATACATAACTAATCAGACACAATGGTGAAACTGGGCTACGTAGGGAGCTACTAGATAATGACACCTGTCTTCCACATACATATGGAGGGTGAAAAGGGTTTGAACAGTTCTTTATTGAAATAATAATTATAATATATACATTGACCATCAGAATGAGTAGAATGAGTGATGCAGACATCCAATGAAGTCACCGAATTAATATTTATTGCAGGGTCATAAATACATGATGAAAAACAAACATTTCATAGGCATCTATTATTAAAAATACAATGTTTGCTCTGACATTGCCTTCTACCAACTAGATTATAATGTCATTTTCTAAATCTTTATTATAAATGTAAGAAAAATGGAGCATCTCATGAAAAGGGGTTAACACGAGGTATAGATTATCTTTAATTCAAATTTATTCAGTGGTGTAAATTCCAGAGACATGCCATTTCCTCTTTAAAGATAGGGAATTATATTATTAAAATTCTAAATTTTCAGTCACATTATATATATATATATATATATATATATATATATATATATATATATAAACATACATATTATAATAAATATTACTATACATAAATAATACTACATTTCGTATTTTGTATATATATCTTGACTAACTGGGTAAAGTTTATTATACCAGTTGGCAACTTTCAAATTGAATTGGTGGCAATGCGTTAAATGAACATATCCTACAGCTTGAATAAGAAAAAAAGAATAAGAAGTGAATGTTAGCTTTACACAAGTCGAAGAACAATGAAATATATTAACTTCTCATGGAGATGTCAGCCTCTTTTACCCAGGTCAGTGAAAAATCACTTATTAGTTTTGAGTACTAAAGACAGTTTTTACTTCAGGGCAACTCCTTTATGCCACCCTTGTCCCAAGTCATTTCTTTAGTAATATGGTTTTAATGTAAAATAGGTGCAATATCTTTTGGTGCAAGGAAAATGACACAATATTAAAGAGTTCTTGGATGAAAAGCCTTTATCTTAAAAGCTTTCAAGGTTCATAAAGGCCACAGAGGTACAAAGCCAGTTACCTAAGCAGCTACTTTACAAATGTTCTTCACAGAATATACAAGAATGGAAGTAAAGGAGATAACATAACTTAATTATTGGAAGAACAATTAAAGAGAAGCATGTGGATTACAGTTATTGTACCGTATATCAAGCTAGTAATGCACCAAAGAGAAATGGCTAAAAGAAATACCCCATAGCTGGACAGCACTAAAAATCTTTCATAATGCACTGTTCGAAGGCATTCTTAACAATTCTGACAACGCATTATGGTTTTTTGCATTAAAAGCTTAGACTAATCTGTTACACTTAAAGAAGAAATGGACAAAACAGCACTACAAATATGAAGAGCTATGAGGTTAAAGGGCCGTTTTAAATATAGGCAATTCACAATATTTTTTTTTTTTTTTTAATGAAATAGTAAGTACCTTATGATTGAAACACATTATTTTATGGAAAGTGGATCATATGTTTTATATATATCAGAATAATCAAATGTGGCTGTTTTAAAATTGGGGGTATATGGATCTTTGCATATCAATATTATAATGATCTAATATACAATAAATATAGCTGGTAAAAAAAAAAAGCTACATAAGATGTAATAAACAGTTTATTAAGCACATATCATAGACTCATGAGTATACGTGTATTATATACATAGGCAGTCACAATGGTGAATATTTTCTATTGCTATGTGGATAATTTATTCACTTAATTCACTATAATTGCTCTTTGATTCTTAGTTGGTAGACGTTGCTTATTTTCAATAATTGTGTAAATGAATAACAAAATATGGGCAGTTTAATATAATACTGCTAAGGAAAAGGACATGTTTCTATAAAAAGAGTTATTTATTGCAAAAATAATAATAGTGTATTTTTTTTTTAGGTTAAATTCCTATTTCTTCTTAACTGCCATCTAATTATGGGACCTGTGCATGTCTCCTTTCTACTAAGATTGATGTCAGCATGTGGTTATATATGTCGGAGAATGTATTTACGTCAGCTGTTTTGACCTAAATATACTAGTCAAATCACAACATGAAAGGTTACAGAAGACTGGTTCAATGAAAACAGTTGACATAAATGGCAAAAATACAGAGATTATCACTTTGTGCAGCAATGGTTTGCAATGGTTTGCAAAGGATTATCAGACACACAATGTATTGAAACATAGGATATGTACTACAGCAGAAGGAAAACATGTTGGATTACATTCTGGTTTAAGAACAAGAAAATGAGACACATGGATACAGTAAACATAAGACCGAAAGCTGTAAAAATGTCTGGTCTGATTATTTCTTATTTCTGACAAGACGGTAGTAGGGTCAAAAGAGAATGTAAACTGTGTATATCCATTGGATCCTGCAGTTAAAGGTACAGGCTGTTAGTGGTGGTGCAATAATGCCAATTGAGCATCATCTCCACTGCATATATATTTAATACATGACACACAGAAATACACACTTTAAAGGAACACATACTAGCTTGCTATATCCCATATTTTTATATTTTGTTAATTAACCATTCATTCGGGCTGTGTTTCTGCTAATTTGTGCTGCAAAAATGAACATTTGTGACACTTTGGTTTCAGAGGTTTTATGCATTAGACTCTCTCAAACCACACCCAATTTCCACCCCATGTTATTACATTTTAAATGCAAAAACACAATTTATTTGTGCTGCCTTTGTGCTGATCTGTGCCGCAAAAAATTACATGGGGCAACATGGGGTGGAAAGTGGGTGGGCTTTGATACAAATCTAATGAACAATATCTCCAAAAACACAGCAGCACAAACATTTATTTTTGCGGCACAAATTAGCATAAATTAATGCGTAATATCTATTTACCAAAACAAATACGGGGTGCCAACCTCACGCAGTTATACTATCTGGATACATCACATCCCAGGATTCCAACTGCTTATTGTAATATATAAAAGAGCTGTCAGCAACCTGTTTTCACATGGATCAGGAGAAAGGTGTATTTCTGTCTCACTAGTGAAGTGTCATAGAAATATTAAAGTGGACGTCCCACAAGACAAGCAATCATAGGGAGAGCAGTACCCTGTGATGGCCACGCCCATCAACCTCATACAGCTTTGGTGCCTAAATAAAAGGGACATTATTGTCACCAGAACAACTACAGCTTAATGTAGTTGTTCTGGTGTCTACAGCATGTCCCTGCATGTATTTTAATGACAACACTGCCCGTTCAAAGAAAAATGCTGATTGGCAGTTGCAAGTTATCATGGTAAAGGTCCTTTCTCAAGTTATAAATTTTGGAGTACTGTATCGATGGGAGGTCCCTGCACTCATCACCAAATCACATTATTTTCTTCAGTGCATGAGATTTTACCTGGAAACATCTACACATTTGCACACTGTACTGCATTGCACATTCACATACCTGGGATCTCAGGGCTATAGTCCCATCTATACCATCTCTACAAGTCATCCCAGGCTACGGTTTTCCAGGGAAGATCCACAGGGATGTGATGTGGTTGCTATAGTAACTCCCTACCCTTTGCTGCTAGTGCTAGCTATCGGGTATAGGAATTGAGTTACTGATGTCAATCAGTTCAGACCCCAATATGCTGGCAACAAAGCCAGCATGTTGATTTCATGGAGGAGGTTTGTCCTACTTGGGGAAGCATAGCCAAGCAGGGCAAATCAAAAAAAGACTGTCAAAGAGCACATAGTGCCAACAAACTAGTTATTTAGTTGATTGTTCCACACTATTTGCGGTACGTTGGGTGAAATTATAGCATATACTGTATATAAATTACTGAATGTCTTTCTCTGTCCTTATAAATCTGATTCTTTTTTGCCATTATCTACAGTTGTGCTCAAATGTTTGCATACCCTTGGAGAATTGGGAACCATTTTAGAGAAAACATGAGTCAGACAAACATTTTTTATTTACTATAGGATTCATATTCAACTGTAGGTTATAACAGAATAGCACAATCATAAAACAAAACATGGCAACAAAGAAAAAAATGAAATTACCCCTGTTTAAAAGTCTGCATACACTTAGTTCTTAATACTGTGTCTTGCCCAGTGGTGTATCCTGGTTTTGTGCTGCCCTAGGCACCAGCCCCACCCCCACCCCGCCTTCTAAATACACACACACACACACACACATTCACTGACAGATACGCATACACTCGCTAACAGAAACACACACACACACACACACACATTATTGCTGCTATTTCTGATTGCACTTTATTACACCAAGTCCCTGAGGAAGTCCATTTTCAGGACGAAACGCGTAGGACGTGTATGGTGACATGCTGTTTGTTTTATACCTAAATGTAAGTCATTAAATATATTTTTTAACATATTCTGGAAGTGCACTACATTTTTGTACATTTTCTCTTTTTGAGACACACATATCTATTTGCTGATGAATATGTGAGGAGAGACAACATACTGGATATTGAATAACACCATTTAAAGCTGTTCTAACTCCATAAAGACATAATTCAAGGCTATCTTAACTCTTCAAAATTGTGAGTGACCATTTGTGATCACACATCAATACCAGTCTCCACACAGTTATATGCTATGTTTTTTATTTGTATTTAGCAGATTGTCCCCTATTTTTCTGTGTACACACACACACTAACAGACACACTCACACTCACTAACAGACACACACTCACTGACACACACACTCACAGGCAAACACACTCACACTAACAGACACACACACACACACACACACAGTCAGGCACACACACTCACTAGCAGACACACACACACTCACTGACACACAGTCAGACACACACATACACACTAACAGACAAACACAGTCAGACACACACACTAACAGACACACACACACTAGCAGACACACACACAAACTCACACACACACTAACAAACACACACATTAACAGACACACACTCACTGACACACACACTCACAGGCAAACACACTCACACTAACAGACACACACTCACTGACACACACACTCACTAGCAGACACACACACACTCACTGACACACAGTCAGACACACACATACACACTAACAAACACTCACTAGCAGACACACACACAAACTCACACACACACACACTAACAAACACACACACATTAACAGACACACACTCACTGACACACACACTCACAGGCAAACACACTCACACTAACAGACACACACACACACTCACAGGCAAACACACACTCACTGACACACAGTCAGACACACACTAACAAACACACACTCACTCACTAGCAGACACACACTCACACAGTCAGACACACACACACTAACAAAACACACACAAATTAACAGACACACACTCACTCACATTAACACATTTTTTTTTATTCACCCTCCTCACCCCCAACCTCCTTACCTTTGGGAGTGCTGGGGGGGAGGGGTTCATTACCTCCCTGGTGGTCCAGTGGTTGCCGGGCTGGGCTGGGCGGGCGGCTGGCGAGGGAGCACTTCCCCTGAGCGGTCTGCTCAGCTCCCTTGTGCGCCGCAGAGTGAGGCTGGGAGTGGGAAGATGACGTCATATTCTGGCTCCCAGCCTCATTCTGCGGCGTGCTAGGGAGCTGAGCAGACCGCTCAGGGGAAGTGCTCCCTCGCCAGCTGCCCGCCCAGCCCAGCATGTCTGTTAGCCGCCAGGCTAACAAGGCATTTGCCCTGGGCATTTGGGGGGCGGCGTTTTTTGCCGCCCCCTGAAAAATGCCGCCCAAGGCAAATGCCTTGTTTGCCTCACGGCTAAAACGCCCCTGGTCTTGCCCCCTTTAGCATTAATGACAGCATGCACTCTTTTGTAATAGTTGTCTGTGAGGCCCCTAATTCTTGCAGGTGGTATAGCTGTATTGTGACCATAAAGTTCTATTTTGGTCTCTTCACTCCAAATTACAGTGTGCCAGAAGCTTTGAGGTGTGTCAAGGTGTTGTTGGGCATATTGTAATCGGGCTTTTTTTGTGGCATTGGTGCAGTAAATGCTTCTTTCTGGAAACTCGACCATGCAGCTCATTTTTGTTTTCGTTTGTATCGTCGTATTGTGCTCCTTTAAACAACCACACCGTCTTTTTCCAGAGCAGCCTGTATTTCTCCTGAGGTTACCTGTGGGTTTTTCTTTGTATCCCGAACAAGTCTTCTGGTAGTTGTGGCTGAAATCTTTCTTTGTCTATCTGACCTTGGCTTGGTATCAAGAGATCCATGAATTTCCCACTTCTTAAAAAGCGATTGAACAGTAGTGACTGGCATTTTCAAGGCTTTGGACATATTTTTATATCCTTTTCAATCTTTATAAAGTTCCATCACCTTGTTACACAGCTCTTATGACAGGTCTTTTCTGCTCCCTATGGCTCAGTATCTAGCCTGTTCAGTGCATCCATTTGAAAGCTGACAAACCCATTGACAATTTATACACAGACACTAACTGCAATTTAAAAAGCCACAGGTCTGGGAAATTAACCTTTAATTGATTTTAACCTGTGTGTGTCACCTTGTGCGTATGTAACAAGGCCAAACATTCAAGGGTATGTAAACTTTTGATCAGGGCCATTTTGGTGATTTCTGTTATAGTTATGATTTAAAAAGGAGCCACACAACTATGTCATGATAAACGGCTTCATCTGACAATACTTTGCAGTATTGATGTATGGTGATGTATGGGTGTAGAGCAATTTCTTCTTCCTATTACATCTAACCAAAAAAATCTATTATTGTTTTATTTAGAAAAATATATATAATTATTATTATTATTATTTCAATTTTTTATATACCGCCAGCAAATTCCATAGCGCTGTACAATGGGTGGACTAACAGACACATAATTTTAACTAGACAAATGGACGTGCACGAGCAGAGGGGTTGAGGGCCCTGCTTATTGAGCTTACATGCTAGAGGGAGTCGGGTATAGTGACACAAAGGATATAAGTATGGGTATGAAATAGGTTGCTAGAAAAGTAATCACTGAGAACTTAGTAGGTCATTTTTGACAGTTGCAGGAGAGAAGTCATGAGGGGGGATGAAAACCCGCTAACAGTTTAAATTATATGCTTTCCTGAAGAAGTGTGTTTTCAAAGATTTTTTGAAGGAGTGGAGAATGGGTGAAAGTCTAACAGAGAAGGGAAGGGAGTTCCACAGAAAAGGTGCAGCCCTGGAGAAGTCTTGGAGGCGAGCATCAGATGTGGGAGTACGGACAGAGGACAGGCGTAGGTCTTTGGCAGAGCGCTGGGGCCGCGACAGGACATATTTGTGTAATAAGGAGGATAGGTAGGTTGGAGTAGCATTATGTAGGGACTTGTAAGCAAGCACCAGAATCTTAAATTGAGCCTTATATCTAACTGGAAGCCAATGCAGGGACAGACAGAGGAGGGAGGCGTGGGAGCTACAGAAAAATGAGCCTCGTCGCCACATTCATTATAGATTGCAGTGCTGCAATCTGGGAACACGTAAGACCACTGAGAAGGGGATTTCAGTAGTCAAGGCGAGAAAGAACAACAGCAGCACCTTAGCTGCGTCTGGTGTTAAATAAGGGCCGATATGAGCTATGTTTTTGAGATGGAAGCGGCAGGATTTGGCGATTGACTGGGCATGGGGGTGAAGAAGAGGTCGGTGTCAAAGAGAAGACCTAGGCAGCATATTATTTAGAAAAATCAATACATTCATTGCAATCTTATTAATGCCATCCAAGGTATCTGTGTGAAGATGGAAGGGTGAACATATTAATGGCTTCCGTTTGATTTGGAAAACTTTGCTATAGCCATAGTTAGTGGGGGTTAATTCACTAAAATGTGAGTCAGATTAAGGTTGGGGACAAGATAGTTTGTATATATCTGATTAACATTTGCACGTCATGTTTCAGTTCATCTCAACGCAGTTGAATTGTGAATAGAACTTAAAATAAATACGTGTACGTTTTAGAATTATATCTTTTTTTTAAATCTATAACAATGAATGAATTAATGATTAAGTACTATTATTTCCTGGAATTGGCTGAATTAAATGAGATAATCTCTGCTCTGAGTGAATGAAGAAAAAATGTTATCTACGGGCAATATGCATTTAATGCCCAGATTTTCATTATTCTTTTCCTGAACTCACACCTTACCATGTGCCAGAGAACCTTGGAGACACTTTAAAAGCTTTAGCACCTTTTATCATACAGCTTTAATTAAGCTACCCATATTTTTACATTTTTACCACCCTTCCGGAGAATAAGGCTATTACATTGTGCTTCTTATATTAATTAGTCTTTAAAAATAACATTTCAACTTAAATACCCACAAATTCCAATGTTAAAGATTGAAAATCTGCAACTTATATCCATTTAGGTGGCCCACTTTTTATGTGCTGCATGTGTTAGAGTCATAACTATTCCAAGCATACGGTTAGAGTAAATTTTTCGTTTGTTGCACTTAAATTATTTTTTCAGAAATCTAGATTAAGACACAGGTGACATGAAGTAGTAATAGTCAAAAGTTATTTATTTATTTATTTATTTTTATGCGTATGAACTTGATTTTTCCTTTTCAGCATGAAATGGTAGATACGTAGCATCTACTTTTTTGGTGTACATGCATATATATACACATAAGGATGGATTGATGGACAGACATTGTAACCTGGTCTGATGAATGTTAGATTACGATGCCACATGCAGATGGAACGATCTGAATGTGTCATCAGACATGAGAATTCATGGATTAGTGTTGGCTGTCAGCAGTACATGATGGTGGTGAAATGGGACGTATTACAGAGTCAAGTTTGGAGCATACACAATATATTTTTTAAACTTAATTGGACCTGTTCATAGTTCATAGTTGAAATAATCTGCACTTTTTTAAAAGGACACCCCTACAAGTAATTCACTTAGAGTGTTTGGCATTTTCCATTCAGTCATTGTACATTCCATGTAGCCATGCCTTTTCATCATTAAATTTGTTTAAGTTTCTCTTTTTTTATTGTTTGAATCATTAGGGTGGAAGGACAGGGGGAGAAACAGGAAGTGTGACTTAATTTCTTAACTGATAAATCGGGGGGGAATGTCTCTGCATTGTGGCTGGACTGCGTTTCTGTCATAGTAAATATGAGTATTCCAGTGAGAGTTTTTAACAGATTTTGTCTATCTGCAAAAAACTCCAGTGTTTAGTGAATAACCCTGCCAGTGTTTTTCATTAAAAAAAGAACAATCCAGTTTATAGATTGTGATAATACAACAACAAAACCTTTTCTAGGGGTTGTTTTCTTTTTCCGTTCACCTCTTTTTTAGCAAGAGTTAACAAGTAAAGACTAGGGTCAGTAAGCAATTCAAATACAGACACACCACAAAATGACAGACCTTTTTGTAGAGGTCTTTAAAATATTCTGCTTTTACAGTAGACTTAACCCATCTCCAGATATTAGTGCTAAGATGTCTATTTGCACGGAATAAAAAAGTGATGTGTTGGAGAGATGATTTCCCTCAAGGTTCTATTTTACATTGAATTAAATAAATCTACACTCTTCTGTTTCTTTTAATCTTTTTATTCTGTGCCTGTAAGCCTATACTTTTGTCAGTTTTCTAACAAGTGTATATTCTCCTTTACCACATTGGACAAGATTTGTCATTCTGAGTTTTTTAATATGGAAATCTTCACGACTTTTACCATAGATGCTCCACTACTGCTATGTTCACCTCTGTCTCATAAAACATAATATTAAGTACGTACCATACAATAATGAAATGTATACAGTCTTTGCATTATACAAGACATACATTCCAACACATATAAGTAATGCATATATCGCTTTGCTTGTTAAAGTGCAACACAATAGTTCTTAAACTTGGAACCACAAACTAATTGTTAGTAGTTAATGACCCATTGGGGAACTGTGTTGCTCACATTTTGTTTGCCAGGGTCAAGAGATCGATCCTAATCAGGCCATTGATATAAAGGTGCCTTCCAAATCTATTTTCAGTGGTGGTTCGTCCATCATGAC